ATACACCTCCCCACCCGTCTCCCCCCCCAGCCTCTTGTGCACCCCCAGCCTGCTGCTGGTGGGGTGGGGTGAGAGGCAGAAAAGGCCTTGACTGTGTGTCAGCACTGCTCAGCAGTAACGAAAACATCCCTGTGTTATCAACACTGTTTCCAGCACAAACCCAAAACACAGCCCCGTACTAGCTACTGGGAAGAAAATTAACTCTACCCCAGCCAAAACCAGCACAGATGTTTTATTAGAATATGACTTGATTTGCTTATTTTAAAAAACTTATCACTTATCAATAACTGATACAACTATAGTCTTAAAATTTCAGCCTTGGGCCCAATAAACATTTTGTCACAAACACTGCAGGCAGCTAAGTGAATTAAGCCTCTTTAACATCGAGATAAGGTTGTCAGTTTTCATGCAAATGCACTGAATCCATTTAATCTTCTTGGAAAATGATTTAATAGAGCAAAGCTGTTTGATGTACTTAGCAAAACAAGTCCCTTTTGTAAACAGCAACATGAGGCTTTCAGTAAATATCAAATCCAAGTTGGAGCTGTATTTTCAGGTTACTAAACTGCAATTACTGATTTTTTTTCTCATGGTAATTTTTGAAGTATGAAAAGATGTCATGAAGGGGCAAATGGACTTTTAAAGATCCAAGGTTAGGAAGCATTTCATTAGCATTCTTCTCAACATGCTATATGAAAGAAAACAAGAAGAAATAGGATGTTGAGAATGAAGTTGAACAACTGTCGGGGATAGGGCATGGGATAAATTATGTTGCTATTCTGACAGTATACTGCACAGGCCTGAAATGATGCTTCACAGTAGCAAATAAAGGCCAGTATTAACATCAGAGCTGTATTGTTGAGAATTATACATGTGTGGAGTGAGGCCCAGATGCTTCTTCAAGAACTCATCTGCAGGAACAACCTAAGATCACGTTCTCATTTCTGACATGGAGGACAGCTGAAGGTAGCAAATTTTCAAGTTACTAAAGTTAGAGCGAGTCGATGAAAGAACTGAGTGCAGGGTCCTGCCTCAATTTCATACATGAAACGCTACTCTTCTGGTTTAAATGACTTCAACCAACTACATGGATTAAGCATGTTGGTAGATGATGGTTGGCAGTGATGCTGCTTGCTTTAGTGTTTGTTCAGGTGTGATTTGGAAGGTCTGTGTGTGTTTTGTGGAACTCTGTGCAGTTTTTGAGGTTGATGTGAAGGAGTAATGCTGCTTGGTGCCTGGCCCGGATGGCTGTCGGCTGCCTGGTGCTGGTGGCTTGTCTCAAGGGCATCTGACCTGCACAGATGGTGTAGGTGAGGCTGGCGCTGAATGAACTTAAGCAGGAGCAGCCATTTCTTACATACGATTTAAAAGTACCGCTAACGGGAGTAATTTAACAGGCTTTTTGGTAAACTTGGCCAGCAGGATGTAGTATTGATGTGGCGCTGTCGTCTTCCTCTGTGCCATGTCCCTTGAGGCCCGATCCTCCCTTTGTCTCCCCTCCTTCCTGAGCCCACGCCTGTCTTCCAGCTCACCTGCTCCAGATGGGCAGCACAGTGGGGAGGACACTGGCAAAGGCAGATGTGTTTATTTACCGGAGACAAAATGCTGTGCTGTTGCAGATGGCAATGCCCTGGAGCAAGCGGCGCACTCTGACACTACTGTCACACTACAGTGATCTCTATACTGTAGGGAGAACTCTTTCTTTAAACGTAGCACTTAATGATTTGTTTGTGGGATTTAGAATTTGGGGATACAAACCTTGCCATCAGAATTTTTTTCCCATGAATTTTGTTACATTTTCATCATAATTTGTGGGACACCAGAAGGATTAACACTAGCTCTCTGTATCTATTTAAATTGCATATAGGATTCCTGGAGGCTACTGATTTAATTATGTGGATGATAAAAAATGAAAAGGTAAAACATGCCACCACCTCCTGTTAGGAGCAGGAAAATAGTTTAGTAGTAAAAAGTTTGGTGGGAGAAAAAGCAGTTTGTTGCTGTATTGCCATTCACCATGTGAGGCCGTTCCTGTTACGGAGGGCTAGAAGGCATGTGAAGGGGAGTGGCTAACACTGAAACAGTACTTCTTGAGGCATTATACTGTTGTCAAGGCCCAGCCCAAAATAGAGCTTGTTCTGCATTGTTAATCACCATCTGGGTTCCTCCCTATGTTATCTAGTTTGATTTAATTTATGAACCTGGTGGCTCATGTAGGCCAAGTTCCTGATATCTTGGGGATGGCTATCTTGTAAGGCAGTGCCTTGAAGTTGTTCTTTTGGTGGCAAGTATCAAGTGTAATGACACTGGGCTTGGAACTTAAGGCCATTACATTACTGTGCTCTTTTCCTGAATAGTCAACATGTGGTTTTTCATGACATTTCTCTTTTTAAAACATGGGGTTTATGCTCCAGAGTAGGATCTGAAAAGAATCTTTGTTGATTTCCATTTATATGTTGCAATTGAGGCAAACCTAGAATCTACTTTGGAGCCGACTGGCTTTCGCATAGGTGGGTGGTCCTGTAGTTCCTCTTCCACCGCTGCCTTCTCCAGTGTCTCACTTGATTCACCTGCTGAGTCAAGTGCCGGGTTTAGTACGTTTAACATACTACTGAGGCTGCGTGGTGGTGGGGAGTAGGAAAAATAACCCCCTGCCCCTCCAAACCCGATGAAGTTCAGTTTCTTGTTGTGATGCTATGTTTAATTATAGGTGACAGGGTCTGGCCTGAGTCCAGAGGAAGACTGTCAGTTCCTCTCTCCTTGTCCACGCTTGGCAGGATGCTTCCTCACGCCCACCTTTCCCCCCTTGCTGTGACTTTGGCTTCCGCCAGATGTCACACCACTGCTTGTCACCACCCAGCCTCCCGCTGCTGATCTTGTTGGTTTAGTGTATTTATCGCAACTGTTCTCTTCAGCTGTAAATTCTGAAGAATTTCACACATCTCTTAATTGCTGTAGTTATTTTAAATCAAACAGCATAAAGTGCAAAGCTACTTGGGATGAGAAATATTGCCTCTCATAGGAAGGTTAAGTTTGGAAAAAAATAAAAATGTAATCTATCCTGGGGTGTTAGTCATCCACTCATTTGGTAGCCCTTTAATCACACCAGTCTTCTAAAGAGTTTAGAACTGTTGGCATGGATTTGGTTACAAAAGCCAAGGCTGCCTCTGGCATGGGCAAAAGGATTGAGACCTACAAGGAATACCAGTCCCAGCATAGAGATGTTAGTCCCACTAAGACAGCACTGAGAGGTGCTGTCTGCAAATTTCATTTGTCATCACGGAAGTAGTAAATAGATTATGTATATTTTCTAATGTTTAAATCCTACCTTTCTTGAATAAGGGGAAGGCACGGAGGACACTTTATTTACGTTTGAGTTTTAAGAAGCTGTCTCATAGACCATTAGCGGGAGAACTTACAACTGAAAAACAGTTCACAGATTTGTTTAAGTCTGTATAACACCATTTATTTATGGTTGAGTATCTCGCATATGCCAATGTTGGTAATTCAAAGTCACACAATAATTTGAGTGATCTTGTGTCATGGCTCTTAAATATGAGCTTGTGTGATGTTTCAGAATAAATAAATTATGAAATACAGGCTAATTAAATGAATACAGCTGCATGGTAACTTGGTTCCAAGTATTCTTGAGTGCTTTGAAGATTAAATCACACAATTTACAGTGATGTTTGATATATAACTGTAGCATGCTTTATTCTTTCTTACTATCTGGTGAAAGTCAAAATACAGTATCCTGTAATATTTTTTTGAGTGCAAATTCACTGTGCTATTATCACAGGAAAAAGTTCATTTTGATAGTGTTTTGGCTTTAGGGTGAAATTGTGTTTGCTTGTTCAAATCTATTGTTAGTTGCATCATAATTTTTTTCTCATTTTGTTGCTTTGTTGATATAGACTTGCCAGCATTTTAAGAGATATCCTGTTAGTATGATTAATAAGAAACATTATATAAATGTGAAAATACTGGAAGTATATAAAAGCAGTTTTAAAAAAACATATTCCAAAATTTTCTTCTGAGCCTACATTTAAGAATAATACAGTGCATGCATGCTTCATTGTCTTATAAAGTACACATCTTGGTTGAAGATGTATAGGGACATCTGCTTTATTCATTATGGTGGAACACTAAACCTAAAACATGAGGGAAACGGCTAAGGAATTGCTAAAGTTGCAAGTACAGCGCAATAAAAAGGCATGTTAACGTTAATGCAGTTGCATGGTCTTTTTTGATATGATGTAGGTATTTCTCAGTCTTATTTGATAGGCTCTTGCTGAAGTCATAAACAAGAATCGGAGAAGATAGCAGCTGAAGCAGACTAAATTTCTAGTTTAAGAAAACTGTTTCCAACCAAACAAAAAAGCTACTGCTAACATGATGTTGCAGTATCTTAGTAGTCAGTTTTGAATAGAAATAAACCAATTCCTTAAATCTTCATTCACTTGGTCAAGTTAGCCTAATATTAAAGATCAAACTTGGTATGTGCAATAAAAATCTAACTATCAATTAACAAGACAGCGTAACACTGTATATAACTGTTTGCACTGTATGTAAGCTTTCATATGTGCTAAAAAGGTCTATGGTTAGCAGTAGTGTGACTGAGAAAAGAGCGTGCTAAATTAACAAAGAAGTTCTTATAAACTGCAAAATGTTCACGTTGTGCTCACATGTTGACAGTAAAAATCCACAAGTTTTATGTTGAGATGAAAGAATCTGATGTGAAAACATAAAGTTTTCTTAAGTTTGAATGTGCCATGAAAGCGTTTTAAAAAAAAAAAAAAAACCAAACCCACAACCCACTAGTTTTCAGGAGAATCAGAGTTTTATGTTTATTTGCTTCGGCATTCCATATTACCAAAAGACCTAATCGTTTTTAGATTGAGATCCATAATCTCCTGCAGACAGTATTGATGTAGTTGCTAGTAGCATTTTATGGCAAAGAATTGTCAAACTATGTTGCTATTCTGTAGGTGGTGTGGGGAATTAAGATTCAAAGATTTGGGTGTGGCTGCTTTAATGAAAACACCATTTCTGTTTGTAGACCCCTTACCATGTCAACCTTCTCCTGGCTGGCTATGATGACCACGATGGTCCTGCCCTTTATTACATGGATTACCTTGCGACTCTGGCTAAAGCTCCTTTTGCAGCACATGGATATGGTGCATTCCTTACCCTCAGCATCCTTGACCGCTATTACAAGCCAAGTAAGTGGAGTCTGTGGAGGAAAAAATTCTCCTGTTACCGATTAATAAAATAAAGGCTTAAACTGAGAGATTGACATTTGCTGAGTCAGATGGTCCAGCGCAATTGCTGTGATGCTACAGATTTGAATGTGACTTTTTGTTAGAATAAATGTAGCTTTAAAGATTGCCTTCTGTTTTCGCTGAAATGGTAATGTGAAACTAGTCAACTCCTTAAAGTGTTTTCCTGTTTGAAGCATAACAGACTGTAAGTGAAGGAAGTTTCAATTCATTCTAAAACATGACTAGACTTTCCTGGATCATTGGCTATTAGTAGTCTGTTTTTAATAAATAACATTTTGATAACTTTATCTTCTACTTGCTTGTCTATTGACTATGACATGTACATTTTCCCAGAGTATCAATCTTCAGAGGGCAGTCCCAGATCCTGTTGCTCCATATCTTGGATTGGCTTTGTGTGTGGTATATTAAAAACATACAAGTGAAAAGATATTCCTAGCAAGATTATCTCCAGTACTCTGAAGTGGTGGTGATGAAGATTGGTTGGTTTGGTTTACAGTTTTATGCACGTGGTAGCTCTTGATCATAGTTCTTCTACATGTCTGTACCTGTCTAAAGTTTTAATTTTAGAATCATAATCCAGTTCTTACACTGCCAAGGAGTAAACATGGCCCCATCCCCACTTTACGGATGAGGAAATGTACAAAGCTTGGAATATTGTTAATCTGACATCTTTGGCTTTAGCTACAAAACTACTTTACTCCTGTGTGCAAAGCTGAGTTTAATGTCATAGCAGAGATGTTCGCTTAGTAATCCTTTCATCTATCTCCTGCAAGAATTGTAGCTATAAACTGACAATTTTATTCTAATGGGACTTCTGCCTGAAACCGTGGATGCAGGTCTGGAGCAAACTCTAGAAACAAGTTTTGTGAGATCCACAGAGCTTAGTTGTCTTCTAGTCACGTCCCTTGAAAATTATACTGCTCCATTTTCACCATTCCTTGTGAAAAGAGAAAAACAGTGAGCTACAATGTGTTGTCATGGCTTGCTATCCCTATAGAGTGCTGGACTTTATCCTAATGTGTGAGAATAGCAGGGGCATCACACACGTGCCTTTCTCATTATTAAAACTAATACCCAGCAGGGAACGTAGCACTAAAACCAATCTCCGCCTACTGTCACTGACTTGCAGCCGGCTGTGGACAGATGGAGCTGATTTAAAACTGTAATAAACTCGAGGAGGGAGAGACGGCTGGACTTCTCCGAAGCCCAGTCCCTGGCCATGGGAGGCAAAATTCCGTCATGCTTCCCATTCAGTGTAACAAATCGATTCTCAATGGCTTGTTGCAGCGTGAGCGCTTCGGTGCAGGGCGTCCTCAGTACATCTGGAAAGTGTTTTCTGTGAGCTGGGAAGGAGAGTTTTTGGTGCTCAGCTGAAAAGTTGTTTAAATTTAATAAAGTTTCTGTTGAGAGAGATGGCCTCTAATTAAATCAATCTGTGGATGTTTTCTCTTTCAGGTATCACACGTGAGGAAGCTGTGGAGCTCCTAAAAAAATGTCTAGAGGAGGTGAGTTGCCAAACTTAGGCCCTTATGATCTTGAGAAAGGAATGTATGTTTGCATTCATTTGCTGATATTTTCCTGTTCCTCTTGTCGCATTCTTTTGCTGTCTTTGCCAGAAGGGGTAATAAATGCACATTGACCAGATGTGGAGTAGCTACCGAGGAAAAGGATTTGTAGGCACTTGCATTGTCTTAGCATGGTTCATGTCCTCCAGAACGTAAACTTGAGCTTAATTGCTTTTCTTTACTTCTGCTTCTTCCATGCTTAGCATAATATTGATACAGACAGTCTTTGATTTTTTCCTGTTTTGTTTCTTCTGAACATAATGCAAGCATCCTTCTGTTACTTGTATTCCACTTAACTAGTATATACTTCTAAGTGTACTTCTCTTCCAGCTTGCGAAGTGATATCTGAGGTAAAGATTTGACCTTAAAGTTCATGATCAATTTTAATGTAAACATAACCTTTCAGACTCCAAGGCTTTTATAGTAGGAGAATAATCTTTATCCTTGTCTTTAAGACATTGAATTGAATGTAATTGGGGAGGAACATCTGGGGAAACCTCAGGAAGAACTCTAAAGAGGTTCTGTTGATCCATGCACTTTGTGCCCTAAGTTGTAGCCCACTCTGGTCTTCTTCCTGCTTAAATGTCTTCCTTGTTAACAGGCTTTGTGTATTTTGCATCGCTAGCCTTATCTAACATAGATAGTCCTATAACAGAGAGCAAACTCATACTAACTGATTCCTGAGCAGTGAAAAAAACACTCTAGTTCCTAATATTTCAGGTCACTAGAACCAGGATGGAAATTTTGATGTGCAACAGCGTATCCCTTAAATTATGCTCTCCTCTTTTATCTAAAGCTTTGAATGAATCTCATCTCTTTTGTCTTTTTGTCTTTTGTTGAACAGCTTCAGAAACGCTTCATCCTAAATCTGGCTTCTTTCAATGCCCGGTTCATTGACAAAGATGGCATCCATGAAGTGGACAATATACCCCTTCCAAAAGCGATGTCCTAACCCCTGAGATCTTTCTTCAGCAGTCTTCTTTTTTGTTCACTTTTGTTTTTTTCTATTCGTTTGAAGCACACAAGTCATGTACTGCACTGGGAGATCGAATAAAGATTGACATTTATATAGCCAGTTTTATCTTTTTATTCCACTGATCCTTCCTGAGAGTATTTAACTAAATCATTCCACAGTGAAGGTGAAACTTGATTTATTGTTAATGGGTGCATGTTCAGGTTACTTATCTTTCTTTCCTTTTCTGAGATTTTTACTGCCCCCCTGTAAGTTTTCTTATGTGTGGGAAAACTGGTAGTATATTCTCTACATGACAGTGTGCTGTCATTCCCTCTCATAACTGACTATTAAAGCTCAACAAACACCGGGCAAGTGTTTCATGCTAGACATACAGCATCTACTTTATTTTTTCCAAAGACATTACTACTGTTTGCTTTATAAAAAAATAATAATCACATTTTCAAAGACTTAATTTGCTTTTGTTATACCTTGTTTCAATCTAATCCAAGTGAAAGGTGAAAGAACAGATTGTCAAGTAGAATGACTTTTAAAATGCTAGTGTCATTTTTAACTCACCTGGCTGTGGTTCTGTTACTGGGGAAGAATGTCCTCCTGCTGGCACAGTAGGCTCCTAACTACATTAAGTATTTTAAATACAAACCAATGTATCAATTGCATCATTTTTCTTAATTGATGTGTCTGTACATTTAGAAGGCCATGAAAAGTTCAATGAGAAAATAAAACTGCAGTACTCTTCGTAAACCTTTGAATTACTCTTAACTAGCTAGAGCTTTGTTTCCATGAGAATAATCACTGATCTGTCTGGGCTCTAGATGATGCTTCCATATAAAAACTCCATTCACAGAACAGCCTCAGATAATTACCATGTGGCTGATACTTCTAGTCTGCCCAGAAGTGATTCTTCCGAGAAAAATTTTCATTGAGACTGCTTCCCTACTTGAATTTGCGTTGAATGAGTTAACCATTTAAAATGCTCTGTTTGGGTGCTTATTTTATGTTTCAATAAGCTCGGGAAAAGAATCTTGGAAATAGAAGGCTGGATGTGTACAAGATTGTGTGCAGACTATTACTTGTGTGGGATGGCATAACGCTTAAGTTCTCAGCTGGGAAAGGTACGTGACAGACTTAACTGTCTTTATTTGTCAAAGCTGTTTTGGTCTTGCCTCAGTAGTGTGTTTGAGAATGTTAGTCTCTTCCCCAAAAAGCTTCCAGTCTTAAAGACCAAGTATTCCCGTCTTACTGAACAGGTGAGAACTGGATTAGAGACAGACTCGCTTAATGTCACAGAAGAAATTTGCAGCTCCAGTGCCTTAACTCGTCCTGCCTCCTAAGAGTGCCCTTACTTAAATCCAGTTCTTCACTGAAGTCCCATCAGGCTTTGTAGTTTAATTCTTTCCAGAATGAGTTTAATTACCAGCTGGTTTTGTTGTAGTAATTGCTGCGATGGCTTTTATTTAAGGCCAATGGCATATAACTCTCTGAAAGATTTTGCTAAAATTTACTTTGTCTTTTAAAAACCTTTTCGAACTTCTAAGAAAGGAAGTCCCCAGCCTGATTATTTTCTCTTGGCAGGTCACATTTAACATGAGTAGAGTCTGAGTGTTCTAGTTCTGTGATTGAAATCTCACCCCTTCATGTTGCATTAATGTATTTCTTTAGCTTAATATGCAGCATCTCTAATTTATTTTACCACTGATGTTGAATGTTTTTGCAGGTTTCTTGTCTGTCTTTTCAAAGTCATCATTGCAGAGTGGCTGAGCTGATGTGATATTTTTGTCACTGCATATCAAAGTAGCGATGCCTCATTATTGGAGGTATTCCTTATTTCAGACACCGAAACTGGGGTGTGGTGCTATTAGATCATGTGAGTCTGGCAGAGAATCTGCCTGGAGTTTTTATTGGCACCTATTTGCATGCAGGTGATTAATAAACATAAAACAATTACTCCCTTCCAAATACCCTTGTTGGAGTCAGGTTGGAGTGGAACATATGTTTTGCCTGAGGGCAGGGACCGGGATCTGAATCCCCCATTGAGTGAGAGATACAAGGGGTTGCATCAGAAGCCAACAGAGCAGCAACCTCTAGGAATGAATGAATACAGACCTTTATTGCAAAGCAGTAGAACAAAAGAATTGACCCACAATGAGATTGGACTCCAGCCTCTAATGAAGTAGATTCTTTTGAGGACTTTCCAAGAACTTACACTTTTTAAGGAAAGGTGTAATACTTTTGGTGTGTAACTTTGGATTGTTTTAAAGGTCTACAGTGCTGATCTTTAAATTCGGAAACATTCAGCTTTCATTTTTAACAGTAATATATGGAATCTGTTTAAAAAAAAAAATCAATGTTTTAAGTTTCCCATATTCATTACTTAAGGAGAAGAAAACCTCTTACGTGCTTCAAGTTTAGCCCTAAAGCTTTTGGAAACCATATTTTGCCTAGAATCCAGGAATACCTTTTGGAAAGAATTCACCTTTCCGTTTGAAAAGCATCTGTATTTATCATGACAGGCCTCTCTTTCATAAGAAATCTCTGAAAGAGTTGAGCACTGCAAGAAAGTGCTGCTTTCTACTAGTAAGCTTTGGTTCTTCATATTATAAAAAATTAATGTCGTAAACCAAGGTAACGTATTCCTAGGGCATTGTAGCCACAGTGAGCTTGTTCTGCTTTGCTTTGGCTGGTAATTCTGACCATATGTTTTACTACCGAAGCCTCAGGGCCTAAAGAGTTAACAAGGCACTTTTTCTCGTTTTAGGTTTCCTGTTTAAAGATGGTCTCCTCCTCAGCACTGTGCATGTAACAGATCACTGCACCAGCTCATCTCTTCAAGAGCTTGGAGTTTGCTCTAAGATCGGTTTACAAGGGAACAGAGCCTCTGTGCCTTAGGCCACGTTACGTTGGGAGGGCTTTGCTGAAAGAAGTATGTGAGTGTAGGTGCAGTGCTTCTACGTCTTGGTCTTGGTGTTAACTATACCTTTTCATGGAAGAAAATCTGCATTTTGTTGCAGAATGCTAGAAACGTGGCACAGAGGAGGTCATCAGTACTCAGACAGCTGGCTGGCATGGTTGTTCTTAGCACAAGTTTGTAATGGCAGCAAGGTAGTTCTGTAGTCCTGGAAGTGACTAGATGGCTAGAAGTTGTCTTGAGTGATGAAGCTTCTTCCCACATGGGATGGCAAGTGACAGCCGAGCGCAGACACGCAATTAAAAATTGAAATGGTTGAAAGGTAAAAACTACCTCCCCCTATTGCTGTATTCAGCCTTTATGTGGAACTACTGGTGGGGGAGAGCGCCCCAAGTTGATTCACCTACATGTTTCCCCAAGACTTTTCCAGTCCAAGAAATCTGTGACCCCGTTCAGTTAAACAAGCCAAGAGATGCTTCAGCCATGAGTAGGTGAAGTGCCTTGGGCAGGGACTGCTTTTTCTGTGTGAACCTGAGGGCCCTCAGCAGGCGTGCTTGTAGAAATTAGTGAGGCGATGTAGAAACTACACAGCAATAGAATAATCAAAGATACAGAAACAAAGCATGTTTGGAGCAATCCTATACAGTATTCTCAGCAGTCTGAGTTCGACTTCTGTTCATGGTGATGAAACAGTCACTGGCAGAAACTTTGTTTGCAACAAATGGAGCTGTCACTTTTCAGAGTAAAGATGTAGGAGCAGAGGGGAGAGATCAGGCTAAACTCTCCCAAGGATGTGTTTTCATTTGCTCTTGTCTCTAGTTTTGACACTAGGTTCCTACAGGAAGTATTGGCCGATGCCAGGGCTGACGTTACGGATTATGTTCATAGTGCTTGGGATTTGGTTGATTCCATTTTCCAATCTGAAGCAGGGACAGAATGTATAAAATAGCTCGGCGCCTAAGGAAGGAAAAACCTCTAACTGCTACCTGTGAAGCACTGTAGATATTGTGTCTGTAAGGAAAATAAATTTATCCTAATCATAAAAAGTTTATCCTTCAAGCCATTTTTAATTCTTTTTCTTTAAAGGTTTAACCTTATACAGAGTTTCCATGTGTTGTTATCAGTCTGCCATCAACAGTAATTAAGTGCAGGAAACTTCCATGTGACCACTGATCAAACTAAACAGACATGAGTTGTTTTAACAGATTTTAAAAAGCAAAATGGAAATGATAGAATTAAAGCATGCAATTTTTTTCTATGTTCTTGACTATGTTGGTTTGAACCTCTGTGTAGTCCTGACTTGCTGAGGACTATGTTAAAAATAAGTTAGTTGTCTTGAAAATGCAAAGTGACAGTTTAAGTGTTTTGTTTCTCTGCTAATGTGCAATTAGGTAGTTATCCAATAAGCTTATTCATGTAGTCTAACTCAAGACAGCTGTGGAAGGAATAGAGAAAAACCCTTTACTGTTGAGGAGTGGTGAGAGGGGAAAGGATGTTGAGAAGGATCTGTTTCAGAATTGCCAGTATGCTCTTTTTCCCCATGTAATATAGTAAAGCATTAAAGGTTAGCAAGATTTGTGAAAAATTAAATTCTGCTGATCAAATCTATTAGAGAGGTGAAACTAAAATGTGGATAGATCTGAATACTAGCAAATGTAGTATAAGTTTGGATCTATAAATTAACTCTAAGGCAACCATACAAGGTGGGGCCAACCTAATAATCTAATTGTTGGAAATGATGACTTGGCTAAGTGTATTTTGATTTGGGTAAAGTACGTTTTGCTTAGTAGAGGCTTCCTTGGTGTCGTCAAATATTTCTGATGTTTATGCACAAACAGGAAAATAGTCCATCTCCTTTAGTTAATTTACAGAAGACAAAGCAGGCTCCATCATATTTTGTGTCAGTATTTTTAGCATTATTGACAGTATCCTACTACAGTACCACCAAAATGCCTATGGGCTTAAGTGATGCTTGATCTCCTCTTGCTAAATGTTGCACTTGAAATGCAACAGATGCCATTACCCTGCTACCAGAGCTCCTTGGTTTGCGGAGAAAACCTGTGGATCTCGCAAGCCTCTTCCATTCAGCAGAGGGCAGTGATCTTGCACGCACACTGCCGCCTCCTTACAAACTTGTTTGGCCTCTTCATCTCTGTGCAGATCATCTGATGGTCACAGAAACTCAGCATTATGG